GTAGAAATGACCCCCGGAGGAGAACGGAGCGCCGGAATGCAAAACGGACAACGGGTAAAATGCTCGAATGCATGAGACAAACACGTATGCAAATGCAATGCACATGATGATATGATATGAGATGCATGACAACGAGAACAACACACGGAGACAAACACCCAAACCCGAGAAAATAAAATAACTTAAGGCCGGAAACGGCAAGAGTTGGAGTACATATAGGGTAAATCACATCCGGGGTGTTACACACTCTCTCTCTCTGACCGTTCGATCGATTTTTGTTTATTAATCTTTCTTATCCATAATGATTATCCCTCTTTGTTTTATTGTATTGTTAGCCAATTAAAAGTATTTTATTGTAGGTGTATATTTTTCTGTATGGTATATATTATGCGAGTTATTTCTAACACATCTTGATCATATTTTTAGAATAGCTGCTCCTATATTTTTTTAGTGCCTGCTGTACTTTGCTTAAATGTTTCTTCTTGGAAGGATAAGTTGTAAATAATGGATGAAGAATACCTTTTCGAGCTTAAGCATTTGATTTCTGGCGATGTGGTGTTTTCTCTTTACAGATGATCCTTCTACTTTCTTTTTTAATAAATAGATAAGTTGGATCCAGTGTGTCTCCATGTGTGTTTTGGGTGAATACGCAATGAAACTAGGGAAAGTGGCCTTTTTGTATCTTGGTTCTGTTTCTATTGTTAGTTCCAAAAGATACATTCACTTATTGGTGACTTTTAACTCTGTAACATGTCTATTCTTAGTGTAGATATTATTTTTATTCTAGCTGCATTGCTGTGAGCGAGCAGATTTCTTATGGGGAATGGTGATGATTGCTTGAGCTTTCATTTTGATCCCCTTTGTATCCCAAACATAGTTTTCGCACAGTCGATGTATGTACTGGTTCCGGATACTCCATGTAGCGGTTTTTGTTTGTTTTATTCATATAAGTACTAGATTCCCGTACAAAATAGAGATGAACTGCACTATATGTTTACTGATCTGTTGGGCCCAAATAAAGTGTCTTCGTGCTTCACTTTTGGCTACTTTGATTCTAATGCACATATGTGCATTCCTTTTTGTCATTCACTTTGTTATTCATTTGATTTTCCATTTCTTCATTTTTAATGACAAAGCATGCTTTTTTTTCTTTTCAAATTAGCTTAAAATCACAATCAAAGAGTTAAGTTTTTACTTAATTTTCATAAACAACTATATATGGCTTAAGAAAGGTGAAGAGCAAGGCCAATCAGGATTTATGTATGGTTGGTTTCTTGATCCAGGATTGTTGACAAGGTTTACTAAAGGCAAGTTGGTTTTACCAAGCGAGACAGATAAATTTATTAATACTTGCAATATACGTCTCACAGATTATTTGCATTAGGTTCGTGTGAAGTGCCACCTGTGAAGTTGATCGACAAGGCAGTTGAATGAAGCCACTTATTAGCACCTTGCTTGCTCTTCTTTCTTTTTGGAGCCAAAAGATCCATCAGCGCTCCACTGCTGGGCAAGGCTATCTCGGTCATCTTCCGTCTGATACATAGGTCAAACCAGGGCTCACACACTCTCTCGCCGATATTTCACTTCGCTCCCGTGAATACATTGTCTTCTACGCACGGCGGTGCTGCCTTGGATCGGCCCTCCATCGCGCCGCTTCGGTCGTCACCATGCATCTCAGCTCCAATAACCAGGTCAGGCCTCACCTACGCACCTCACATGGTTTCTATTCCTTCTGAGCCCTAAATATGTGCCTGCATCTGAGAACTTTCTTGGATCTATTCAGGTCACGATGGCTGATGATGAGCTCCAGGCTCCGCTGGCTCCACCAACAGCTGTCTGCGAGCACTTGCACAGGTCAGTTGAGATGCGTCACGTCCCCTCTGGTTTATCTAGACGGCTGCAAAAGTATGGTCAGAAATTAAAGAGGGGAGCCAAATGAGAGCACGGCTTAGAAATAGCCAGGGTAGTCCAAGGTCGAATCCAGGAAAATTTGACAATGGATTCAGTTAGTATACAAATATGCACATTGAATTAATATAAAAAAGAGGGCAACCTGGTGCATGTAGCTCCCGCTTGCGCAGGGTCCAGGAAAGGGTCCGACCACTTTAGGTCTATAGTACGCAGCCTTTCCCTACATTTCTGTAAGAGGCTGTTTCCAGGACTTGAACCCATGACCACATGGTCACAAGGCAGCAGCTTTACCACTGCGCCAAGGTTCCCCTTCATGCACATTGAATTAATATAATGGGCTATTTCCCCATGCCCGCACACACACTCGAGGGCTGGACGCGAGTACATGAGCCAATCAATTCTAGGTCCGTTGTGTTGTCTTGGGGGTTGATCAGAGTTTTGGAGGATCAACAGAGTTTAGTAACGGATAGCAGAGTTCTGCAATGTCCGCACTTTCAGAAAGGGAGGGCGTGGTCCTGTTTCACCTCCTTCTCCTGTATTGTGATCTCAATTGCTTTAAGCAGTTCCCCTGACTTTACTTTTTGTGTTCTTGGGTCCCGCATAGAACAGTTCTTGACAGCCTCCTAGCACACCTTGGGCGCGCTATTAGATGGGGCCTCTCCTAATTCACAACTGCTCCTATGCCTATCAAGGTGATTTCGTCTTGCTGTACATGTATTGCACTTCCAGGATGCTTGAGTGCAGAAATCATTGTACTCCATATATCTCACAATTTGTTTGTATCAGGTTCATGTGAGGCAGATGAATTACGCCACATGTTAGTATGCTTAGTGATTATGGCTTTGTAGTTGGCTGTCCTTATGTGTTCTCGCTTTTTGTATTGAACTTTGTGTTGAATGGCCGTATTTTGCGGTTGGCTGAATGCACCGAGCTTGATCCTGTCTTATATTCTGATGTTGATCTTGAGATCCATTGTGTTTTACTTCTGTCACAATTGAAGGTTTCTTTACTTCATTATCATCCTGTATAGTACAAACGCTATACTTGGGTTCCTATTGGCATGTTGTTACATGCTTACGCCGGCACCCTCGCGCCAAGGCGTGATCCCAATCTAGTGCCCATGATCGGACATCAATCATTAGTGATTTTTCATTAGTGATATTCATCAAGACATTTTTTTGACAAAATCTCGGATCTAATTATCAAATGTTAAGGTAGTACAACGAGCATAAGAAGTAAAATTTACATTCAGATTTGTAGACCACCTAGTGACGCCTATAAGTACTGAAGTGAGTCAAAGATGTGCCATCATCCTCGCCCCTCCATCACCGTAGTCGGGCATACTTTATTATAGTAGACAGTCGAGAAGCCATCATGCTAAAGCCTCATAGGACCGACGCACCAGAACATCAACCATCGCCGAGAAAGATAAGCGCAGATTAGAAGGATCCTACGCACAGATAGACACACGGACGAACGAAGACCGGGTCCAAAATAATCCATCGAAGACAGATACCAACCGAATTCCACGAGATCTGCTGAAGACATACCTCCATACGCCCTCCTCCAGCGCTAGAAGCACCATCGGGATGGGGGCTAAGAGGAGAACCTTATTCTATCTTGAGGAATCTGCTACCCGCATCTTTTTTTAAGCATGGCACAAGCCCTGACATAACTCAAACAAACATCTAAAAATGAAACCCTCCGTCGGCAAGGGCCAGAATTTACCCCGCCTCCATTATCCCAGGACAACAGAGACGAGGCAGGCCGACGACGGCACCAGCGAGAGGCTTGAGAAACCCTAGCTGAGCTGCACACGTACGCACGCACGTACCACTTGGAGGAAAACGCAGCGCCCCGTGATTCTTTTCATCAAGACATCCCTTGTGGGTCAGACAAGGCTTATACTTTATGATTTTTATTGAATCCAGTCATCTTGGATGGTCACATTGCTAGTATGTCAAAACTGATTGGTTTTTTTCTTTTGCGAGAAAAACTTTCAATCTATTCATTAATTATCATGACGGTACAAAGAGCACCAGAAACAACAAAAGTTGCATCTAGACCTATATATACCTAAAGACGACTACAAACACTTAAACGAGCCGAGGGTGCACGTTCTCACTATATGGTACCCCGCACGTTGTTGCGGGAACATTTTATAACATACTTCAATGAGATTTAATTATACGGAACATGAATATTTAAAGTCATAAATTTGAGGTAGCTAAAAATAAAATTGCACATGATTAATAGTATTCTGTTATTGTATATCTATTGAATATAAACATCATAATATAATAAATATTATCATGCATGTTTGCTTGTTGAGGTTGGTTTTTTCCTATGCATGATTGCATGTTGAGGTGACATGATTGCATGTCGAGAGAAAAAATAATAAGGGTTAGCTATTTAGATATAGAAGATTCCCAATTCTTGAATATTGGATTGAAGCATCGCCACCCACCCCTACCCCCCCTCCACACACACTGGCACCTTTCATTACAACCTCTCTGTAATAGCCCTACTTAGTGGTAATGTATTAAAATAATTATGTTTGTGAGCATGAGCATTGCATTTCATAGTAATTATTTTTAAGTGCCAAATCAAAAACTTACTGAATGTACCCAAAACTCGCTTCACAGGAAACTCTAAGGGTTTTGCAAGAGCTTCATATCCAAATGTATGGGCTCTTTGTAAATTCTCAAGGTTCAGGAAACTCTAAGGTTGCGTAGTAAACAGCTCGTGTTGGGTAGGCGGACATGCCCAGATGTACCACCGCGTACACTTGAGATGGAGGTGTGGGATCACCGAAGCATTCCCAATGGGGGATTCTTGCCGGCGTTCTCGGCCCTCGCTATGCTCGCCCCGGCGCCACTATCTGCGGCCTCGGGTCTGCGCGTAGTGTTCTTTCAAAATCAGCCAACCCAAAATAAACATTCAGACGACTTGCATTTAGCTAAAGTGGAAAAACATACACATACAGATTGTACGTCAAGATAACCTTCCCATACAGGTTATACACACGGACACGGATGATCCACGTATCACGATTTGCTCAGAACCACCGTGCAGCTTCACCCCTTCTGCTAGTTCTCAGTCGGGTACATGCCATTTATAGTCATGCCGCCATCAACCGAGATCGTCTGGCCAGTGATATAAGATGAACCGGGCATACAGAGAAACGCCACCAGCGATGATACTTCTTCAGGTTCTCCCACACGCCTCATCGGAGTTCGACGGGCGATGCTATCCACGAAATCTTCTTTCGCCAAATCCTGCAGGATTGAACGGGACAGGCGAAGCATTACATTTTTTTATTTCTTTGGTGCTTCGAATAGGGCATATGGGTTCTAATGTACCTCCTCTGTAAACTAATGTAAGACGTTTTTGCCGTTCAAATTGAACTGCAAAAACGTTCTATATTAGTTTTTTTTATCAAAGAAGAGTTTCCTCCTCCGATTTCCATTAAGGGAAACCATCAATAGCAAATCAAACATTAACCATAACCAGGAATAGGCCACTAGTCCTATATTAGTGTACAAAGGTTGTAGTAAGGTGCAAGGCGGCAAGCCATGAAAAATGGTATTTAGATATATAGCCCTTAATTAGACTTGTATGTGTGTTTATACGATATTTAAGAATCAGGAATGAGAACAGTGGATGGAACAATCAGTTTCGACATACTAACAAGATGGCCAACACAAATAACTTCTGAGCAAGAGAAGTAAAAGGAAAGTTACTTCTGATGAACAACTAAACAAAAAGATACTTCTGATGAAAACTCATAAAGTATAGGCCTTACCTCTTCCACGAGTGAAGTCTTGATGTACCATGGAGCAACAGAGTTGATTCTTATGTTGTCTTTCGCCCACTCACACGCTAGGTTCTTGGCCAACTGATTCATCGCACCTGAAAAGCGGCCGCCACAAGAACGATCATTGATCGATGATCTACATGTTATCTTGTTCACATATGCTGCATAGCAGAGCAACAGTTACCTTTTGTCATGGCATAAATGGAGCCACTAGATATGGCTACCACTCCAGAGACTGATGATATGAAGACAATGCTGGCCACCCCGGATGCTTTGAGAAGAGGGTGTGCAAGTTGACATAGATGATATGCAGATTCAAGATTAGTGGCCATTATGAACGAATATTCATCTGCCGAGTATTCAGTGGTTGGTTTTCTATGGTTTGTGCCCACGTTGTTTATCTGCATAACCAAATTGGGAGAGTAAGATGTATTTGAAATATTACCTCCATCCCAAATTACATATCTTAGATTTATCTAGTCTAGATACAGATGTATCTAAGCACGAATTGTGGTATGTTTAGGACAAAGGGATTACTAATAAACGTCATGGAATGAAACTTGCAAACTGTGGTAGTATGTTTGTCCAAGTGTAGACACAAGAGCTTATCCAAATATTAACGGCCGAGGTCTCGCGCGCGGCCGCCACTTCGGCAGCGGCGGCGCAGCGACTGCTCTCTCCGACCCCTCCCCACAGCGCCGCCCCTCCTCGCTTCGCCGCCGTCGGAGGGGACACCGGCGAAGCCCGCGTGGTCCCCAGGGAAGGTGGCGGCGGGGCGTCCTCGTCGTTCTCGCGCAGATCTTGCGGTGGCCGGTGGCGATCTCGCGGCGGACGGTAGCTGGCGCCAGCTGCCCGTGGGGCGGCGTCCCTCACGGCGGCGGGGCTGCCCCTGAACGGCGCTTGGTGGTGGCCATGTGGCGGCGCGCGGGTGGGTTGGATCTGAGCTTCCGGTCTGCGTCCTCATCGTGGTAGCGATTGCCGTTGCCCTCAGCCATGAGGCGTGGTCCGGGACGGGCCGAGCGCTGGTGGTGCTGGCCAGGACACACGCTGGCAGCACCCTACTTCATCTCACGTCGTCTCGCTGGCCAATGGAGGTGGTCATCTTCGTCGTCAGAGATGGCCGACCAGAGGCTTGGTGATCGGATCTCGAGATCCATCATCTAGTCCCGGCTGCGAGTTGGGGAGACATGGTTGCCGGTGAAAATCGAGCCGTTGGCAGGCGATGGCGGCGTTCTACGCCGTTACCTTGATGAAGGCATCGTCGTGTAACTACTGTCGACCCACTCGTGCTGCTCTGGAGGAAACCCTAGGATCTGGTGTTCCAGATCGGACGATGGCGGCACTGCGGTGTCGTTTCTCTCTTGGGAGCATCGTCTGTGGAACAGCGCTGGAAGTCAGAGGCAGGAGGTGGAGCGGCTTCGTCTTGCACGGAGCTTCGGTGGAGATGTTAAGTCATGCTTGACCGACAGGTGCTACGCTTTGTCATGCCTGGTCGGCAGGTGCTACGCACGACAGAACTTCCAAAGACTTCAAGCTGTGTCGGCTGGTGATACTTGGCAGCATGGTGCTGAGGTGTATCAGTGGCGACTGCGGCGTGCACAACTGTTTGCGCGCAGGGAGGAGGTGCCGTTGGGCGCCGTGGTGGCGTCGACGATAGCTAGACCGAGCAAGATTGATGCATCAGTACAATTCTGAAGATGGAGCGGTGGCAGTTGGCGGCGGCGGCCTTTGAGAGCACGCCGGACCGGCGAGACCCATGCCCGGCAGGCGTCCTGGATGGGTCCTCAGGTCTTAGATTTTAGGTTTGGCCGCGATATCTGTTTGATATTAGGCCTAGGCTATCTGCGCTCCTTCATCAACTGGATAGGTGTAGCGACAGTTTGTTGCTTAGACGGCGGCTTTAGTCTTACTGTGGTATTACTTTATAAGGTCTTGTGAGAATAATTAATAAAGTGGCCGTATGCATCGCCCAGATGCAGAGGCTGGGGGTCATCCTCCTTTTCTAAAAAAAATGTTTGTCCAAGTGTAATCACCAAGGCGAGGCAGAAACCACTAGTAAAAAGGAACTGCAATTCGGTTCTGCTACAACATGTAGCAGCACAAATGTTCAAAGGAAAACACATTACTGAAGCAAAACCATCTGAAGTTCTGCTTGAAAACGACCAAACAGTTGCAGTTTCATTTTAAATTACTGGTCATTCATGACGACAAACCAAGAAGAGCTTTGTTTTCTGAAGCCAAAATAATAACATGATGACACGCCACGAGTCACAGGCATACGGCTACAGAGACAGTATTCAGCACTTATCTTTTCTCACATTTACTCAGATCCACAGGACACTACACGCAGTATTTCCAAAGAGATATACTATGCCGACATATACAGGAATCAAAACATGCAAAGTTTGTGACGAAACTAGGAAAGATAACTACATACCCCAGGGTTTAGCAACAGATCGACAAAGGCGTGGGGACTGGGGAGAAGATATGGGGTGCTTCACGTACGAGGATGTCCAGCTTGCCGGCGAAGCGGCCGGCGACGTCGTGGAGCAGGAGCTCGCGCTGGTCGCGCACGGAGACGTCGCAGACGGAGCCCGTGACGCGGAATCCCCTGGCCTCCCACTCCTTCAAGCGCTCGCCGAGCTCGGCTTCCTTCCGGGAGCACGTGTGCACGGCGGCCCCGAGCGCCGCCAGCTCCTCCACCACCGAGCGCCTGTACATCAAGCGCAGAAAACCATCTGAAGCCGGGACGAGATCTGAAAAGAAAGGGGCGCGGAGGGGTGCGTACGTACCCGATGCCGCGGGTGCCGCCGGTGACGAGCGCCGTCCTGCCGTGGAGGGACCACCTCCCCGCACTGGAGCCGATGATGTCGTCTACCGCGGCCATCTCCTCCTCGTAGAGCCGAGCTGAAACAGCGTCGTTCGTACCGCAGGACTGATCATGACACCGGGATGCACAATTTAACCGTGGTGTAGCAATTATTGGGTTGCGCTATGTGCCACGTCGCGGCTCTTGGCCTGGCCCCACAATGACTAGAGCGGTCTCTTTTTGCGCCTCTGTCGGCTCTACCCGACGCAGCTCGGCGTGTTTGGTTTGTAAATCAAGTGGAATGGAATTGTGAAAGAACGAATTGATCGAATCAGTGATCTTAAAAAAAAAAATGATCGAATCAGTAAATCTTTCATTGATGATGTTGGAGGATTATATACAATGTGA